CTTGCGTACGGATGACAGCTGTGTAGACTTAATTTATTTTCTGGTGCTTTCACTTCCTAAGACAGGTGTAAGCACTGTGTAACTGCGTCGAGGGTGCTTGACCATTTTAACACAGCGNAACCCATGGCAAACACCGAGGGGGGGACTTGTTTTACAACGTCGTTGCAAAGCGACGAAAACCCAACCCCGATGGTAAACACCGGGGGGCAAACACCGAGGGGGGGACTTGTTTTACAACGTCGTTGCCAAGCGACGAAAATCCAATCCCGATGGCAAACACCGGAGGGGGCGGCTTGTTTTACAACGTCATTGCCAAGCGACGAAAACCCAACCCCGATGGTAAACACCGGGGGGCAAACACCGAGGGGGGGACTTGTTTTACAACGTCGTTGCAGAGCGACGAAAACCCAACCCCGATGGTAAACACAACCCATGGAAAACACCGAGGGGGGGACTTAGTTTACAACGTCGTTGCAAAGCGACGAAAACCCAACCCCGATGGCAAACACCGGGGGGGGCAATGGTTGACTCTCCTAAATCGGTACTTCTCCTATACAGTCTGTTAAACCGTAACCGCCGCTGTATTGAAATTCGGCTACAAAATGAAGTCACCCCTCCCTGTTTTGCGCTAATGGACGGAACCCATCTGGTAGAAAAGGTAACGCCCCCAAGAGCATACAAACTACATGTACAAGGTGCCATTCTGGAGCTGTTCCGAGTCACGAACGATGATATTGGTAGGCATGGAGAATGCCGATGCCAGTTCTTCATCTACATACATCTTTCAAGTTCACGAAGGACATCGGTATGGTAACCATGAAAAATACCAAAGGAAAGACACTCGCCTCCCAACCCCCCCCCCCCCCCCCCCCCCCCCCCCCCCCCCCCCCCCCCCCCCCCCCCCCCCCCGGCAACTCACCATGCCGAGGTCCGGGATGAAGGCCACCTTCCCGAAGTAGGGGTCCAGCACGATGGCGTGGGCGTGCGGCTCACTCTGTCGGTTTGCCTGGAGAGCACGGAGGCCGGCGTGTGCGAGCGTTTCGGGCGGCGGGGTGTCGCCTGAGGCGTCAGAGTCCCCCTCGTGAGGATGAGAGTCGAGCACAAAAACCAGCACAACCACCACCAACGACACTTCCACTACCAACAAACAACAAGCAACAGCAACAGCAACAGCAACAGCAACAATAACAGCAACAACAACAAACAAAAAGGCAACACAGGAACAGCAGCAACAACAACAACAACAACAAATCCATCTCACCAGGTGGTCCTTGAGGTCGCGAGCAACGACCGGTCTCTCCGGCTTGAGGGTGTTCACAACTACGAATCGGCATCACCGAAGATGGAAGAAAAAGAAGAGAGATCCATCACACCGCGATAGCCACCGTAAACAAAACAAAAAGAAACAGCAAGAACGACCGAGTCAGCAAAACGTTGAGCTTTTCATTGGGCACGGATCGTTTTTCANGCAAGCAACAGCAACAGCAACAGCAACAATAACAGCAACAACAACAAACAAAAAGGCAACACAGGAACAGCAGCAACAACAACAACAACAACAAATCCATCTCACCAGGTGGTCCTTGAGGTCGCGAGCAACGACCGGTCTCTCCGGCTTGAGGGTGTTCACAACTACGAATCGGCATCACCGAAGATGGAAGAAAAAGAAGAGAGATCCATCACACCGCGATAGCCACCGTAAACAAAACAAAAAGAAACAGCAAGAACGACCGAGTCAGCAAAACGTTGAGCTTTTCATTGGGCACGGATCGTTTTTCAAGTCTCAGAGCACGTAATTCACAGTCAAAAGCATGAGCACGATTTTCATTGGAGCACGGACGTGGGATCTCAGAACTACATTCACTGTCGTGAATCAATTTTCTCGCCACGAATTGGCGTTCGGTGAATGACATTGGTGCCCTTCTTATAGTCCGCTGGGGAATATAGGGCGGGGGGGAAGNCAGAACTACCTTCACTGTCGTGAATCAATTTTCTCGCCACGAATTGGCGTTCGGTGAATGACATTGGTGCCCTTCTTATAGTCCGCTGGGGAATATAGGGCGGGGGGGAAGGTGGGGGTAGTAGTCAGGGTCAGCCTTTCTTTCTCTACATGCCTCCTGACACATCAAGCTGTCTGCCCCCCCCGCCAAACACAATCGATCACCCCTGGCTTACCTGGTTCAAGGAGGCCTGAGCAAGTGAGAGGCATGGTCCCCACCACAGAGTCCCAGTAGTTCACGAACAGCATGTGCTCCAGCGAGCTGTCGAGCTCGAGGTAGCAGGTGCTGGCGGACAGCGTTTTTAAATGAAGCGAGAACAGCGGAAACACACATAAAAAATAGTGCTTTTTAGGCGAGCTGTTGAGCTCGAGGTAGCGGGTGCTGGGGGACAGGTATGTTTTTGTTTTTTTTGTTTTGTTTTTCTCCCATCATTGGACTCTGTTGTCTGCCCCTCTGGCCCCTATCCTCCACTTCTACTAGCTGGACGACCCAACCGGGGTCACATAGGAGGGGGGGGTTGGACCCCCTCCTGCGGTTCATGCCTGAGGTATTTTTATCGCGAGAAGGGTACAGCAATCCCTTCCCTCGCGACTTACGAAGTCGATTATGGTTTACTAACAAACGAGCTTTGCAGCGCGTCGCTTTCATCCTAGACCAGGATTTATTTAGTGAGAAAAAAACTCTC